TACAGTTAGTTCCTTGTATCCATGGTTGTCCTGGCCATGTGAGGAGATTCTACCAACAGCAGTTAGTTCTTTGTATCCATGGTTGCCCTGGCCATGTGAGGAGATTCTACCTACAGTTAGTTCCTTGTATCCATGGTTGTCCTGGCCATGTGAGGAGATTCTACCAACAGCAGTTAGTTCCTTGTATCCATGGTTGTCCTGGCCATGTGAGGAGATTCTACCTATAGTCAGTTCCTTGTATCCATGGTTGCCCTGGCCATGTGAGGAGATTCTACCTACAGCAGTTAGTTCCTTGTATCCATGGTTGATCCTACCAACAGCTAGTTCCTTGTATCCATGGTTGAGGAGATTCTACCTACAGCAGTTAGTTCCTTGTATCCATGGTTGTCCTGGCTATATGAGGAGATCCTACCTACATTCAGGTCCTTGTATCCATGGTTGTCCTTGCTATGTGAGGAGATCCTACCTACAGTTAGTTCCTTGTATCCATGGTTGTCCTGGCCATGTGAGGAGATTCTACCAACAGCAGTTAGTTCCTTGTATCCATGGTTGCCCTGGCCATGTGAGGAGATTCTACCTACAGTTAGTTCCTTGTATCCATGGTTGTCCTGGCCATGTGAGGAGATTCTACCAACAGCAGTTAGTTCCTTGTATCCATGTTTGTCCTGGCCATGTGAGGAGATTCTACCTATAGTCAGTTCCTTGTATCCATGGTTGCCCTGGCCATGTGAGGAGATTCTACCTACAGCAGTTAGTTCCTTGTATCCATGGTTGTCCTGGCCATGTGAGGAGATCCTACCAACAGCAGTTAGTTCCTTGTATCCATGGTTGTCCTGGCCATGTGAGGAGATTCTACCTACAGCAGTTAGTTCCTTGTATCCATGGTTGCCCTGGCCATGTGAGGAGATTCTACCTACATCAGTTAGTTCCTTGTATCCATGGTTGTCCTGGCCATGTGAGGAGATTCTACCAACAGCAGTTAGTTCCTTGTATCCATGGTTGTCCTGGCCATGTGAGGAGATTCTACCTACAGCAGTTAGTTCCTTGTATCCATGGTTGTCCTGGCCATGTGAGGAGATTCTACCAACAGCAGTTAGTTCCTTGTATCCATGGTTGTCCTGGCTATATGAGGAGATCCTACCTACAGTTAGTTCCTTGTATCCATGGTTGCCCTGGCTATGTGAGGAGATTCTACCTACAGTTAGTTCCTTGTATCCATGGGTGCCCTGGCTATGTGAGGAGATTCTACCTACAGCAGTTAGTTCTTTGTATCCATGGTTGTCCTGGCCAGATGAGGAGATTCTACCAACAGCAGTTACTTCCTTGTATCCATGGGTGCCCTGGCTATGTGAGGAGATTCTACCTACAGCAGTTAGTTCCTTGTATCCATGGTTGTCCTGGCTATGTGAGGAGATTCTACCTACAGTTAGTTCCTTGTATCCATGGTTGTCCTGGCCATGTGAGGAGATTCTACCTACAGCAGTTAGTTCCTTGTATCCATGGTTGTCCTGGCCATGTGAGGAGATTCTACCTACAGCAGTTAGTTCCTTGTATCCATGGTTGTCCTGGCCATGTGAGGAGAGTCTACCAACAGCAGTTAGTTCCTTGTATCCATGGTTGTCCTGGCCATGTGAGGAGATTCTACCTACAGTTAGTTCCTTGTATCCATGGTTGTCCTGGCCATGTGAGGAGATTCTACCTACAGTTAGTTCCTTGCATCCATGGTTGTCCTGGCCATGTGAGGAGATCCTACCTACAGCAGTTAGTTCCTTGTATCCATGGTTGCCCTGGCCATGTGAGGAGATTCTACCAACAGCAGTTAGTTCCTTGTATCCATGGTTGTCCTGGCTATATGAGGAGATCCTACCTACATTCAGGTCCTTGTATCCATGGTTGTCCTGGCCATGTGAGGAGATTCTACCTACAGCAGTTAGTTCCTTGTATCCATGGTTGTCCTGGCCATGTGAGGGAGATTCTGGCCAGTTAGTTCCTTGTATCCATGGTTGAGATGTGAGGAGATTCTACCTACAGTCAGTTCCTTGTATCCATGGTTGTCCTGGCCATGTGAGGAGATTCTACCTACAGCAGTTAGTTCCTTGTATCCATGGTTGTCCTGGCCATGTGAGGAGATTCTACCTACAGTCAGTTCCTTGTATCCATGGTTGTCCTGGCTATATGAGGAGATCCTACCTACATTCAGGTCCTTGTATCCATGGTTGTCCTTGCTATGTGAGGAGATCCTACCTACAGTTAGTTCCTTGTATCCATGGTTGTCCTGGCCATGTGAGGAGATTCTACCAACAGCAGTTAGTTCCTTGTATCCATGGTTGTCCTGGCCATGTGAGGAGATTCTACCTACAGTCAGTTCCTTGTATCCATGGTTGTCCTGGCCATGTGAGGAGATTCTACCTACAGCAGTTAGTTCCTTGAATCCATGGTTGTCCTGGCCATGTGAGGAGATTCTACCTACAGTCAGTTCCTTGTATCCATGGTTGTCCTGGCCATGTGAGGAGATCCTACCTACAGTTAGTTCCTTGTATCCATGGTTGTCCTGGCCATGTGAGGAGATCCTACCTACAGTTAGTTCCTTGTATCCATGGTTGTCCTGGCCATGTGAGGAGATTCTACCTACAGTCAGTTCCTTGTATCCATGGTTGTCCTGGCCATGTGAGGAGATCCTACCTACAGTGGTTTTTTTTGTTCCCTGCTTGTGGTGGTAGTGTTAGGAGATTCTAATTCAGTGGTTTGTTTCATTATATACCCAGTGTATTGTTCTGATTGTTTACAGGAACGTTATGTACTCTGTGTATTGTTCTGATTGTTTACAGGAACGTTATGTACTCAGTGTATTGTTCTGATTGTTTACAGGAACGTTATGTACTCAGTGTATTGTTCTGATTGTTTACAGGAACGTTATGTACTCAGTGTATTGTTCTGATTGTTTACAGGAACGTTATGTACTCAGTGTATTGTTCTGATTGTTTACAGGAACGTTATGTACTCAGTGTATTGTTCTGATTGTTTACAGGAACGTTATGTACTCAGTGTATTGTTCTGATTGTTTACAGGAACGTTATGTACTCAGTGTATTGTTCTGATTGTTTACAGAAACGTTATGTACTCAGTGTATTGTTCTGATTGTTTACAGGAACGTTATGTACTCAGTGTATTGTTCTGATTGTTTACAGGAACGTTATGTACTCAGTGTATTGTTCTGATTGTTTACAGGAACGTTATGTACTCAGTGTATTGTTCTGATTGTTTACAGGAGCGTTATGTACTAAGTGTATTGTTCTGATTGTTTACAGGAACGTTATGTACTAAGTGTATTGTTCTGATTGTTTACAGGAACGCAATGTACTCAGTGTATTGTTCTGATTGTTTACAGGAAGCGTTATGTACTAAGTGTATTGTTCTGATTGTTTACAGGAACGTAATGTACTCAGTGTATTGTTCTGAAAGATTTACAGGAACGTTATGTACTCAGTTATTTGTTCTGATTGTTTTACAGGAACGTTATGTACTTAAGTGTATTGTTCTGATTGTTTACAGGAACGCGATTATGTACTCTGTGTATTGTTCTGATTGTTTACAGGAACGTTATTATACTAAGTGTATTGTTCTGATTGTTTACAGGAACGTTATGTACTCAGTGTATTGTTCTGATTGTTTAGAAGAACGTTATGTACTAAGTGTATTGTTCTGATTGTTTACAGGAAGCGTTATGTACTAAGTGTATTGTTCTGATTGTTTACAGGAACTAAATATGTATTCTGTGTATTGTTCTGATTGTTTACAGGAACGTTATGTAAAGTGTATTGTTCTGATTGTTTACAGGAACGTTATGTACTCTAAGTGTATTGTTCTGATTGTTTACAGGAACGTTATGTACTAAGTGTATTGTTCTGATTGTTTACAGGAACGTTATGTACTAAGTGTATTGTTCTGATTGTTTACAGGAACGTTATGTACTCTGTGTATTGTTCTGATTGTTTACAGGAACGCTATGTACTCAGTGTATTGTTCTGATTGTTTACAGGAACGCTATGTACTCAGTGTATTGTTCTGATTGTTTACAGGAACGCTATGTACTCAGTGTATTGTTCTGATTGTTTACAGGAACGCTATGTACTAAGTGTATTGTTCTGATTGTTTACAGGAACGTTATGTACTCAGTGTATTGTTCTGATTGTTTACAGGAACGTTATGTACTCAGTGTATTGTTCTGATTGTTTACAGGAACGTTATGTACTCAGTGTATTGTTCTGATTGTTTACAGGAACGTTATGTACTAAGTGTATTGTTCTGATTGTTTACAGGAACGTTATGTACTCAGTGTATTGTTCTGATTGTTTACAGGAACGTTATGTACTCAGTGTATTGTTCTGATTGTTTACAGGAACGTTATGTACTCAGTGTATTGTTCTGATTGTTTACAGGAACGTTATGTACTCAGTGTATTGTTCTGATTGTTTACAGGAACGTTATGTACTCAGTGTATTGTTCTGATTGTTTACAGGAGCGTTATGTACTCAGTGTATTGTTCTGATTGTTTACAGGAGCGTTATGTACTCAGTGTATTGTTCTGATTGTTTACAGGAACGTTATGTACTCAGTGTATTGTTCTGATTGTTTCAGGAACGTTATGTACTCAGTGTATTGTTCTGATTGTTTACAGGAGCGTTATGTACTCAGTGTATTGTTCTGATTGTTTACAGGAGCGTTATGTACTCAGTGTATTGTTCTGATTGTGTTTACAGGAACGTTATGTACTCAGTGTATTGTTCTGATTGTTTACAGGAACGTTATGTACTCAGTGTATTGTTCTGATTGTTTACAGGAACGTTATGTACTCTGTGTATTGTTCTGATTGTTTACAGGAACGTTATGTACTCTGTGTATTGTTCTGATTGTTTACAGGAACGTTATGTACTCAGTGTATTGTTCTGATTGTTTACAGGAACGTTATGTACTCAGTGTATTGTTCTGATTGTTTACAGGAGGGTCAGACAGCATCTGAGCTTGCCAAGGAGGCCGGTTATGAGTACATTGCCAAGGTTATAGACAGTATGACTTCCTCCACAGCCATCACCAACAATGGGACAGCTGACATCATGGATGACTCACATTCAAACAGCGATGTAGCTGTCACACTCCAGATGTAGCATCATGTCAGACCAGATAAAACCGTTGCAGACTGTTGTGAACAAATTATAGCCCGACTTGTCTCAAGCTGCTTACTTGAACTTGACCTTGTTCTAATGTCCAACCAGACCAGTCTGCTGCTTTGTGTAGTGTACACATGAACATGTACTCACGACTCTGCCAGAACAGAAACCTACGCACAGTTGAAGAAGTCTGTAAGTGGAAGCTTGGTGGGCATCTTGTTGCTCCATCCCTGTTCTAGACAAACACAAATATTACTTTGAGGATGTTTGTCAGACTTGCTGTGAAATATGAACTACTGATAATGTTTGTGAGTACATGTATTTCCCATATCCTGAATGGTGAATACTTTGAACACCAGTGGAAAGTTGTTTATTCAATGTTCAGCCGGAGTGAAGCACAACTGTATCACTACTGTAGAGATTCCCGGACACTGGCAGGCATCACCCAGACTGGGCAGCAGCTTGTTCTTCTATTGAAGGAGGAAAGACATTGGCTCACAAAGAAGACTGAGCAGAACGTAACAAATGCTGATATGAACTACATGTGCTATTTATAAACATTATACATTAAATTTTAAATTTCTTTTCTTACTGTGCCAGTTAAGTTTCCTGTTAACTTAACTGTTAATATATTTTCACCTAATGTTCAAAATCCCAGATCTGAATATATTTCTACAGAGAGAATGTTTTCTGTTACCTGCGTTGTTCCAGATTTCGGGTTATTCTTCTTTCTTTATTTAATGAGTCATAGAAGTTACCATGACACCATGACTGATGCTATCTTGAGTACCTGTGTTATGTTACGACAATAGTATCTCATGCCATCTTTTAAATATCATGTTGTGCTTGTGAGTTGTTCAAAGAGGGATTGTTTTAAACTTTTTTTTACATTGTCTATGATTTTTTAGTAAGATTCGCTGGTGGGAACACATGTTGGAATATAGATACTGAAGAAGACTTGGTGGTGCTGTAAGGTACAGTTCTACAGCTCTTCATGCAGCTGCGCAGTGGGGTAGCCTAATGGTTAAAAAGTCCACTTGTCACGCGAAGACCTGGGTTCGATTCCCCTCATGGGTACAATGTGTGAAGCCCATTTCTGGTGTCCCCCGCCGTGATGTTGCTGGAAAATTGCAAAAGCGGTGTAAAACTAAAGTTACTCACTCACTCTTCACACAGCAGTCAGTCTCACACCAGCAGTTCTCTATCACTATGGTTCCAGCTAATAGTTTATTATGTTCATCAGAAGTGAAATCAAACTTTCTCCATGCTTGATTAATATATTCTTCAGAAATATCCTAGATGCTTCTCTAATGCTGTCTGTTCTCATTCTGCCAGATTCTCCCACATCAGGGTTGCTACATCATGGAGTATTGTGATCATTTCTTTTGTGAGAGTTGTGTCCCTTTTTAGGATGTGAATGGATAATTTTCTTATTGTCATATGAAAGGTATCTTTTTGTCAAATCAGAGTCTTGCCAAGATTATTGTTGTCATGAGTCATAATAGGATTAAGCATATGTAAATTAATAAAAACAGTATGTATGATTTATTTTACATATGAATTTTCTCAACCAAAAGGATTTTGTCCATAATCTAAGTTTACTTGATGGAAATCACTGCTTCGGTGATGAGAAAGGGTGCAGGTGACAAGACGGTGTTGCAGGTGATGAGAGAGGGGTGCAGGTGATGAGACTGTGTTGGAGGTGATGAGAGAGGGGTGCAGGTGATGAGACTGTGTTGGAGGTGATGAGAGAGGGGTGCAGGTGACAAGACGATGTTAGAGGTGATGAGAGAGCCGAGCAGGTGGGGTGCAGGTGATGAGACTGTGTTGGAGGTGATGAGAGAGGGGTGCCCTGATGAGTCAGAGTAGACTACCCCCAACACAGGACTGACACAGTCAGGTAGACTACCCCCAACACAGGACTGACACAGTCAGGTAGACTACTCCCAACACAGGACTGACACAGTCAGGTAGACTACCCCCAACATAGGACTGACACAGTCAGGTAGACTACCAACACAGAACTGACACAGTCAGGTAGACTACCACCAACATAGGACTGACACAGTCAGGTAGACTACTCCCAACACAGGACTGACACGGTCAGGTAGACTACTCCCAACACAGGACTGACACAGTCAGGTAGACTACCCCCAACATAGGACTGACACAGTCAGGTAGACTACCAACACAGAACTGACACAGTCAGGTAGACTACCCCCAACACAGGACTGACACAGTCAGGTAGACTACCCCCAACACAGGACTGACACAGTCAGGTAGACTACCCCCAACATAGGATTGACACAGTCAGGTAGACTACCAACACAGAACTGACACAGTCAGGTAGACTACCACCAACATAGGACTGACACAGTCAGGTAGACTACCCCCAACACAGGACTGACACAGTCAGGTAGACTACCACCAACACGGGACTGACACAGTCAGGTAGACTACCCCCAACACGGGACTGACACAGTCAGGTAGACTACCACCAACACAGGACTGACACAGTCAGGTAGACTACCCCCAACACAGGACTGACACAGTCAGGAAGACTACCCCCAACACAGGACTGACACAGTCAGGTAGACTACCCCAACACAGGACTGACACAGTCAGGTAGACTACCCCCAACACAGGACTGACACAGTCAGGTAGATTACCCCAATGAACACACTAATAGGGCTGAGATTGGTTAATATGTTGTGGCAATTTTGTCTTGTCAGCTATTTTACTTGCTTGTGCAACCAGTGTATTATTTCTATGACATCTTATTTGTTCAGGAGTTAAATGAACCACCATCAGCATGTACTCTATAGCCAAATCTGAGCAATGTGTGCAATATTCAAGTGTTGAATCGAGAGTTTGGATGTAGACTTTATGTTGTTAATGGATGTAATTCACACATTAATGTACTACTTTCACAGTGTACAAGGTATTCACAATTTCCAAATAAGGACATTGTTTGAAACGGAGTACAGTGTTACAGACTGAGAATTGTAAGCATCTGAGAACATTGTTACCAAGTGACTAATGGTTACCAGCAGATTGTAACCAGCTCATTGTGATGTTGACTTGGCTATGACATGATTGGTCCAGTCACCTCAGTGCAAATAACCATACGGTCGGTCCATTCTCACAATGAACAAATAGAAAGTTCCATACAACACATGGCTATATCATTAGCTTTGTCTTACCATTTCCATTGCTTAGATTTATGTAGTGTATTATTATGTAGCAGGAAAGAGTAGATTTTATATTCATTTGAGATTAGAGTTGTAACATTCAGTGAAACACATCCTGTATCTGACCTGAGAAGCCTGCTAATGGTGAGATAACTTGCCAGCAGGACCACACATGTAGTCTGAATGTTGTAATGCAAGTTCTGTGAAAATCCGCATCCCTCCAATATAACATGCATATGACTGTGCTGTGAATATCTGTTTGAAAAAAAAACAGGCTGCTCTACCTCATTGTATGTGATTGGCTGACACTTTGTGTTGGATTGTGTCAAGACACTGGATTGGCTGACACATTATGTGTTGGATTGTGTCAAGACACTGGATTGGCTGACACATTGTGTGTTGGATTGTGTCAAGACACTGGATTGGTTTGGTATGATTTGTAATGAAACATTGGTCAGTACTGAACAGTAGCCAAGATGAAGGAATGGGGACAGGTTCAGTGTTTCACAGAAATATTGGAATTCATGAACTGGCATCCTCTCTGTTTAGCTTCAGGTCAACTTCTTTACCTTTGTTTTTATTGGTTTTATAAAACTTTATTTTGATTCACATTTTCTGTATTTATTTTATTGCTGTGAGGTATGTTGGCAAGATGGTGACAGGTGAGAAGGTTTCTTTTATTAGCCATTATGTTGATACAGACTCATCTCGGTAGTTTGTATTCATTGTGAAGGAGTTGCAAAGCATTATGTTCCATATTACCCATAAAACATCTGTACAGGCACTGAAGGGAAGTGCTCACTTATATCAGGATTGGAATGATATCCTCGTCAATCTTACTGCCTCCACACAGCCATAGCACTGTTCATCTTCGTCTAAATCTGTAAATAATTTGAATAGCAGCTTTGTCAGTGAAATGCCGCTGTAGTGAAATATCCATCTTCTGATCCATGAAGAAGCAGTCTTCTTTATGGACTTCAACCAACTCCACAACCTGATTCCAAAATTACAAACTCAGATGATTCTGACTTTGATTACACAATGCCACTTAGAAAGTGGCCAAATCTAACATGTTATATATGGGATAACACAAGTTGTCCAGCACACAGTCAGACAAGTGTTATCCCAAATATAGAACGTTACATTTGACCACTTTCTAAATGGCATTGTGTATTTCATAGCTTCAGCCGTGGGAGCCGTGCCAACTAACACTTATCAGAGGGGTACACCAAGTCAGCAGTTTAGACTAGCAGTTGTCTCACTTCCATTTTTGTGGAAGTAGCGTTGGCTGAGTGGGTTAGGTGTCTGACTTTGTGTGCTGGCAATGTGGTGCCTGACTCCAAGGGTGTGGGTTCGAATCCCGGATGGGACTCAACCCCAATAAGTACTAGAATTTGTACTTTACTAAGAAATTGTTATCCCAATATAACATGTTATGTTAGATTCTGACTTGTTGAAGGAAAGTCAAAGTCACTGTTCTTAAAGTATATTTCCAAAAATATACAAGTACAAGACTGCTTTGACGTAACTATATATCAGTCTTGTCAATATCTGTACGCTATCTGGTATTGTTGCCTAGAAGAAGCCACCTCACAGCAAGGCAGTTGTCTCACATGCTCTGCTTCCATTACTACTTCTCAACATTGCTGACATTTAATTCCACAAGATATTTCACCTTCTTGATTTGTGGACTAACAAATTTGCTTGGATAGGTCAGAATGAAATAAATTTGAATTTGTGCAGCTGTAAATGTTTTGTCTTTTTTAGTGTGGCATGCTGGTCTGTTTAACTGGAAGCAATCTCACAACTGGTTTCATTTGTAGCAGGTTTGCCATGCAGGTAGCATGGATGCACTTGTCATTGAAGCTTTCTAATGTCAACACCTTTTCCACTTACCTTTCTACTTTCTGCTTCTACCATCATGACTTGTCAGGTATATTTATGAAAACAAGTATGAAGACAAGACACACCGTTGCCCCACTGCTGCTCAGCCCCCTACCCACACCACTGCCCCTACTATCACCCACACACCTTTGCCTCTGCTGTCAGCCACACACACACTGTTGCCCCTACTGTCAGCCACACACACCACTGCCCCTACTACCACACACACACTGTTGCCCCTGCTGTCAGCCACACACACCACTGCCCCTACTACCACACACACACTGTTGCCCCTACTGTCAGCCACACACCTTTGCCCCTACTGTCAGCCACACACACCACTGCCCCTACTATCACCGACACACACCACTGCCCCTGCTGTCAGCCACACACACACTGTTGCCCCTACTGTCAGCCATACACACCACTGCCCCTACTACCACACACACACTGTTGCCCCTGCTGTCAGCCACACACACACCACTCAGCCACCACACCTACTGTCAGCCACACACACACTGCCCCTACCCTGCTGTCAGTCAGCCACACACACACTGTTGCCCCTACTGTCAGCCACACACACCACTGCCCCTACTACCACACACACACACTGTTGCCACTGTCAGCCACACACACCACCCTACTACCACACACACACTGTTGCCCTGCTGTCAGCCACACACACCACTGCCCCTACTACCACACACACACACTGTTGCCCCTACTGTCAGCCACACACACTACACACCACTGCCCCTACTATCACACACCACTGCCACTACACACACACTGTTGTTGCCCCTACTGTCAGCCACACACACCACTGCCCCAACTATCACCCCCACGCCTTTGCCTGTACTGTCAGCCACACACACACCACTGCCCCCAATGCCCCTTACTATCACCCCCACACGTTGTCCCTACTGTCAGCCACACACACCGTTGCTCCTAATCTCCTAATGTCACCCACACACTGTTGCCCCCACTGTCACACACACACAGTTCCACCCGAAGAGCCGAAAGGTCGCGGGTTCGACCACCGACTGCGTCGTACCAAAACACGTTAAAATTAGTAATTGTTGGTCTCTGCCCCGCGCTCGGCATTAATGGGTACAACAAGGACTGGTCGGCTCGGAGTCAGTATAATGTGTCTGAGTGGGGTAAACATGCTTCACTGCGGCATGGTATCTCAGTGGACTAGCACTATAAAACCAGCTTAAGTCTGGGCTAGTACAAACTTCCGCACATACACAAACACACGCATGCACGTCACCATATGAGCGAAACCCAATTTCAGCTCACCTCACCCACAGATGCCCCCACTGTCACCCACACTGTTGCCCCTACCGTCAGCCACACACAGTTGCCCCCACTGTTAGTCACCCATACACAGTTGCCCCCACTGTTAGCCACGCACTGTCACCCATACACAGTTGCCCCCACTATTAGTCACACACAGTTGCCCCCACTGTTAGCTACGCACTGTCAGCCATACACAGTTGCCCCCACTGTTAGCCACGCACAGTTGCCCCCACTGTTAGCCACGCACTGTCACCCATACACAGTTGCCCCCACTGTTAGCTACGCACTGTCACCCATACACAGTTGCCCCCACTGTTAGCCACGCACAGTTGCCCCCACTGTTAGCCACGCACTGTCACCCATACACAGTTGCCCCCACTGTTAGCTACGCACTGTCACCCATACACAGTTGCCCCCACTGTTAGCCACACACTGATAACAATAACACGGATACAGCTGTTAATAATTTTACTCTCCTGGAGCATAGCTACATAAAAATGTTGCATGAAAAAGTTATGCAATGGTTTAACAAAGTCAATTTCAAAATGACCATACATTATATATTATTCTTTAAAAAAAAGCACATATAGCACTGGCGAAAAAGAGAACATCAAATCTTAAGAAAATTTAAAACTTTAAATTAAAACTTGCACAACTGTGATAAGCTGCACAGACAAGGTCAAGCTAATGTCAACAAAATGTATATCACAAATCGCCCAAATTCCCCTATGTTTCTGTTGGTGCCAAGATTTCTACAAGTTGCAGTTATTAGAACTGTGACTGTGCATCACAAGGTGGATTCTAAACACCAACGACGGTCCAAACACTCTCGAGTGACTGATTTGGAACAGACAGTGATCAATGTGACCAAACTGAAGGTGAACTCCCACATTGAGCTTTGACCTGATAATGTGCTGACTCCATACATAACACACAAGTGACATTGATCTGTTGTGCTGGAAGTCATGGACACATAGTACTCTAAGTATGCAAACAAGTTCCTTGTAGACGAACTTACCCCCATTCTCTCTTGCAAAATATACAGGTGAATGTAAAAGGCACAGATTATTCTCAGAAATGTGATGGCTTGAACGTACTTGAAATGACTAAGATAAGCAATTAATCCTCTTCTAACAATAGCTGAGTGTAGTGTCATACAGTGAAATAGTTATTCAACATTACCAAAGATAATAGCCTGTAATTACTCTGCAAGTTCAGTATTAAGTCATCAAGTGGGGCAAATTCCAATCAGATCTGTTGATGAAATATTTTGTGAGGGAAATCTTTCCCAAGTAACAAATGAATCTAGCACACTGAGATACAAATGATGAAACCATATCCTATTTCATGTGACTAGAACTAAAAATAGAAATGAAACATGGAAAACAGATATCCAAAGTGTAACTCGAAAACAAATGTTAAAACATGGGAGAAAAAACAGAACACTACATTAAGTTTAAAATCACAGATTTATGTACAACTGACTAAAGACAAGCATATCAAATACATGTGTATCTTAAACTATTTCAATGTTTCGATTTCAAGAGGTGTAACAAAATCAATACATGTAACTTTACCACATTCATAAATAATCTGTTTTGATATAGCTTATACATAACACTATGTATATTTATTTTCTCAGGTTTGGTTTTAAGCATTTGGCCCCTTATGAAATGACAGGCCTATTTACACAGCTATTCACATCTTTCCACCATGAAACAGACGTCGTCCTTGCCTTCTATCGCCATGCACGTTATATATACAGATGTAGGCAGAAATCCAAGACTGTTTTCCCAAGGTGGGCATGGCATCATCCAATCAGTCTGTTTACAACATCACAGGTTATACCTCGGGGATAGAGTGGTCCATCTTCTTGAAGAGAGAACCTCCCATGCTGAAACAATGAAAACAGTTGACATGCAGGGAGCACTCATAAAATCCTCAGCACATGTATGATGTAAGATCATCAACAGAAGTGTATTTATCCAACAGAAGTGTGTTTATCCAACAGAAGTGTGTTTATCCAACAGAAGTGTGTTTATTAGCTTTGTTTCCTACATATCTGAAGTAAATTCACACCTGTATATTTTGCTGTCCATCTAAGTCAGTTCATCTCAAAAGCGGACCGATGAATTCCAATCAAACTCAAAAACTAACAAACCTATAATACTCACTGAAACACTAATTATAATCATAACATCAGATCAACTCGGATTTTTTTTAGTAGAATTCATGTCCTAAAAATAACTATTTGTTACGAGGGAGGATTGCACAGAGAGGAACAGTCAGGTGTATGAGAAAGGAGGTAGACGGCCGGGGGATGTTTCAAAAGTCATCATCAGAGAGATCGTCTGAATGCAACTCTGATTCTGAACAACTGCTGTCAGAGTCCATTGTGGTTATGATTGGTCTAATGGTGGCATGGTCTAAACCACTCTCTTGCCAGTATTTAGTTTCATTATCCTTTTTCAACACACCTCTGGCGTGTTTCTTGCGATATGTTACTGACGGACTGCTGTACATGTTTCTGTAAATCACGAAGTTTGAAGATAGTGTTATTACTTCCCACTTCAGACTCCACTTGATTGTCTTTGGCTTAAATACCAACAAACAACCAGGCCAAACCCCCTGACCTCTACATCCTGCATGTAACACAATCACACGTTCAACCTTGCCGCTTGTAAGTTTTCTCGTGTATGTTTCTGATGATGTACTGGCAACCCACTGAGTACCTACGGTGTGACTGGCATTCACCCACTTTTCATCCAGAAAAACAGGTTCGAAACCTTAATTATGTTTTTGACTAATTGCTCGCAAGAAGCTATTTTGTTAGCAAAATGTCGGATCATTCACAGAGAACAAGTCTAGTCTCCCCACTTATCTTTATATAACGTAACCCAAATTTGTTTAGCAATAACCATAACTGACATTTGGATGTTACAAGGGAAGGTTCAGTCTCCAATAGCTTTGTCAAAGCATGCAAAGTAAAGAATTCATCTTGGCCATATAACCTCCAAATAGCATTCCAAACGAGTTCTTTTTTAAATGAATCAAGCTTTTCTATTTTCACTGGTTTTGAGAAAGAACCTTCACAGGTAAATGAATCAATGACTTGTCGGCATTTGTGCACGTGCTTCACGCACACCCAGCTGTTCCTCGCTTTGCACTCCTCCCTCGTATTGACAGTTTATTAAAAAACCTTTTAATGCTTAGGACATAAATTCTGCAAAAAAATCAGAGTTGGTCTGATGTCTTGATTATGATCAGCGTTTCATTGATTATTATAGGTGTATTAGTTTTCGAGTTCTCCTTTTGAGCCAAATGGACTATAGGAATATATTAGAAGCAAAAACAAGTCATCTATGTTAGTTGCAAGAACGAGTCATCTATGTTAGTTACAAGAACTAGTAATCTATGTTAGTTGCAAGAACTAGTCATCTATGTTAGTTACAAGAATGAGTCATCTATGTTAGTTACAAGAACTAGTCATCTATGTTAGTTGCAAGAACAAGTCATCTATGTTAGTTGCAAGAACGAGTCATCTATGTTAGTTACAAGAACTAGTAATCTATGTTAGTTGCAAGAACGAGTCATTTACGTTAGTTGCAAGAACTAGTAATCTATGTTAGTTGCAAGAACGAGTCATCTATGTTAGTTACAAGAACTAGTAATCTATGTTAGTTACAAGAACTAGTCATCTATGTTAGTTGCAAGAACTAGTCATCTATGTTAGTTACAAGAACTAGTCATCTATGTTAGTTGCAAGAACTAGTAATCTATGTTAGTTGCAAGAACAAGTCATCTATGTTAGTTGCAAGAACGAGTCATCTATGTTAGTTACAAGAACTAGTAATCTATGTTAGTTGCAAGAACAAGTCATTTACGTTAGTTGCAAGAACTAGTAATCTATGTTAGTTGCAAGAACAAGTCATCTATGTTAGTTGCAAGAACGAGTCATCTACGTTAGTTGCAAGAACTAGTCATCTACGTTAGTTGCAAGAACTAGTCATCTACGTTAGTTGCAAGAACTAGTCATCTATGTTAGTTGCAAGAACTAGTCATCTATGTTAGTTGCAAGAACTAGTCATCTGTGTTAGTTACAAGAACTAGTCATCTATGTTAGTTGCAAGAACAAGTCATCTATGTTAGTTACAAGAACTACTAATCTATGTTAGTTACAAGAACTAGTCATCTATGTTAGTTACAAGAATTAGTCATCTATGTTAGTTACAAGAACAAGTCATCTATGTTAGATGCAAGAACAAGTCATCTATGTTAGTTGCAAGAACTAGTCATCTACCTTAGTTGCAAGAGCTAGTCATCTATGTTAGTTGCAAGAACTAGTAATCTATGTTAGTTGCAAGAACAAGTCATCTATGTAAGTTGCAAGAACTAGTCATCTATGTTAGTTACAAGAACAAGTCATCTATGTTCGTTGCAAGAACTAGTCATCTACGTTAGTTGCAAGAACTAGTCATCTATGTTAGTTGCAAGAACAAGTCATCTATGTTAGTTGCAAGAACGAGTCATCTATGTTAGTTACAAGAACTAGTAATCTATGTTAGTTGCAAGAACAAGTCATTTACGTTACTTGCAAGAACTAGTAATCTATGTTAGTTGCAAGAACAAGTCATCTATGTTAGTTGCAAGAACGAGTCATCTACGTTAGTTGCAAGAACTAGTCATCTACGTTAGTTGCAAGAACTAGTCATCTATGTTAGTTGCAAGAACTAGTCATCTATGTTAGTTGCAAGAACTAGTCATCTATGTTAGTTGCAAGAACTAGTCATCTATGTTAGTTACAAGAACTAGTCATCTATGTTAGTTGCAAGAACAAGTCATCTATGTTAGTTACAAGAACTAGTAATCTATGTTAGTTACAAGAACTAGTCATCTATGTTAGTTACAAGAATTAGTCATCTATGTTAGTTACAAGAACAAGTCATCTATGTTAGATGCAAGAACAAGTCATCTATGTTAGTTGCAACAACTAGTCATCTACCTTAGTTGCAAGAACAAGTCATCTATGTTAGTTGCAAGAGCTAGTCATCTATGTTAGTTGCAAGAACTAGTAATCTATGTTCGTTGCAAGAACTAGTCATCTACGTTAGTTGCAAGAACTAGTCATCTATGTTAGTTGCAAGAACAAGTCATCTATGTTAGTTGCAAGAACTAGTCATCTATGTTAGTTGCAAGAACAAGTCATCTATGTTAGTTACAAGAACTAGTAATCTATGTTAGTTACAAGAACTAGTCATCTATGTTAGTTACAAGAATTAGTCATCTATGTTAGTTGCAAGAACTAGTCATCTATGTTAGTTACAAGAACGAGTCATCTATGTTAGTTACAAGAATTAGTCATCTATGTTAGTTACAAGAACAAGTCATCTATGTTAGATGCAAGAACAAGTCATCTATGTTAGTTGCAACAACTAGTCATCTACCTTAGTTGCAAGAACAAGTCATCTATGTTAGTTGCAAGAGCTAGTCATCTATGTTAGTTGCAAGAACTAGTAATCTATGTTAGTTGCAAGAACTAGTCATCTACGTTAGTTGCAAGAACTAGTCATCTATGTTAGTTGCAAGAACAAGTCATCTATGTTAGTTGCAAGAACTAGTCATCTATGTTAGTTGCAAGAACAAGTCATCTATGTTAGTTACAAGAACTAGTAATCTATGTTAGTTACAAGAACTAGTCATCTATGTTAGTTACAAGAATTAGTCATCTATGTTAGTTGCAAGAACTAGTCATCTACGTTAGTTGCAAGAACTAGTCATCTATGTTAGTTGCAAGAACAAGTCATCTATGTTAGTTGCAAGAACTAGTCATCTATGTTAGTTGCAAGAACAAGTCATCTATGTTAGTTACAAGAACTAGTAATCTATGTTGGTTACAAGAACTAGTCATCTATGTTAGTTACAAGAATTAGTCATCTATGTTAGTTGCAAGAACTAGTCATCTATGTTAGTTACAAGAACTAGTCATCTATGTTAGTTACAAGAACTAGTCATCTATGTTAGTTGCAAGAACTAGTCATCTACGTTAGTTACAAGAACAAGTCATCTATGTTAGTTGCAAGAACAAGTCATCTATGTTAGTTGCAAGAACTAGTCATCTATGTTAGTTACAAGAACAAGTCATCTATGTTAGTTGCAAGAACTAGTAATCTATGTTAGTTGCAAGAACAAGTCATCTATGTTAGTTGCAAGAACAAGTCATCTATGTTAGTTGCAAGAACTAGTCATCTACATTAGTTGCAAGAACTAGTAATCTATGTTAGTTGCAAGAACAAGTCATCTATGTTAGTTGCAAGAACAAGTCATCTATGTTAGTTGCAAGAACTAGTAATCTATGTTAGTTGCAAGAACTAGTCATCTACGTTAGTTGCAAGAACTAGTCATCTATGTTAGTTACAAGAACAAGTCATCTATGTTAGTTACAAGAACAAGTCATCTACATCAGTTGCAAGAACTAGTCATCCATGTTAGTTGTGAGAACAAGTCATCTACTTTAGTTACAAGAACAAGTCATCTACGTTAGTTACAAGAACAAGTCATCTACACTAGTTACAAGAGCTAGTCATATATTGAGTTACAAGAACTAGTGATCTGTATTAGTTATAAAAACGAGTCATCTACATTAGTTACAACAACTAGTCACATGCAAGAGAAAGTATTGTCATCTTCATCTCTTCGAAACAAAAGGGCCTTTCAACATATGTATCTTGATGCATGTATTCTTATGGTAACACCTGATAACCCACAATAGGCATTCATGAATTCACCATCTGTACTTTGCTTAAAACTAAACATAAATTCACTTATTTAGCTTTGATTTATTTCAAGAGCTTCCTCATTTAACCCAATTACTTCCTGTATGGCCAACAAAATGCAGCAAAACAAGAAAGTGGCGGATCAGTCAGGCTGCTAACTGATCCATTTAGCATCAATGCAAGAGCAGTGTAAGACAACTTGAGAAAGTCAAGAGGAGACAACTCACCACTTGATGATGTGATCATAGATGATACAGGGTACCAGTGTGATGGTGACGGTCCTGCCACCAGCGTCGATGATATCTCCAACACGATTATCTGTCAGCCCAATTACATTCTGACCGTTGACCTCTGTCAGTTGATGGTCAGTCAGCACTCCATTACGTGCAGCAGATGAGTCTTTTACAATAGACTTGATACGCCCATCCTTGAACACAAAGCCGATGTAGCCATTGCTGTCCTTCTGCATAGTGATAGTCCTCTCAAACGGTCTGCAGCAATAGAGATGGAAAGTGAACAAGAGATCAGCTGAAAAACCAGCACAGGTTAACAGTGGAATGGATACATATATAGACAAATTTCCCAGCCAGGGTACAAAAGTGGGTAGTGTATTTGTCACACCTGTCTCTCACTGCCATGGTGATTCTCTCAGCTGCTGCTTTCTTCAACTCTTTGTGGGCCTTGTCAGTGTCCCAGCCTGCCACAGTCTGTCCGTTGATCTGTAGGATCTGATCCCCAAACCTCAAGCCGGACAAAGCTGCTGGCGAGTTGTCTTGCACCAGACAAACAAACAAACCCTGAAACAAACACACAAAACCATATGAACAAACCCATGAAAAAACACATCCAATCGACATACAAAACCTTGGACAAACACATCCACCAGACATACAAACCTTGGAACAAATACACTTCCACCAGACATACAAACCTTGGAACAAACACACATCCACCAGACATACAAACCTTGAACCAAACACACATCCACCAGACATACAAACCTTGGAACAAATACACTTCCACCAGACATACAAACCTTGGAACAAACACACATCCACCAGACATACAAACCTTGAACCAAACACACATCCACCAGACATACAAACCTTGGAACAAATACACATCCACCAGACATACAAACCTTGGAACAAACACATCCATCCACATACAAACCTTGAACAAACACATCCACCAGACATACAAACCTTGGAACAAACACACATCCACCAGACATACAAACCTTGGAACAAACACACATCCACCAGACATACAAACCTTGGAACAAACACACATCCACCAGACATACAAACCTTGGAACAAACACACATCCACCAGACATACAAACCTTGGAACAAACACACATCCACCAGACATACAAACCTTGGAACAAATACACTTCCACCAGACATACAAACCTTGGAACAAATACACATCCACCAGACATACAAACCTTGGAACAAATATACATCCACCAGACATACAAACCTTGGAACAAATACACATCCACCAGACATACAAACCTTGGAACAAATACAAACTTGGAACATACACACCAGACATACAAACCTTGGAACAAATACACTTCCACCAGACATACAAACCTTGGAACAAACACACATCCACCAGACATACAAACCTTGGATCAAACACACCTCCAGCAGACATACAAACCTTGGAATAGTAGACACACTAAAAAACATGAAAACCAACACTCATACCCAAAAACATCCAACAAACAAAAAACATCAACAACAAACAAACATCTATGGCTTCAGTTTTGATTGGACTTATTGACTAGATCTTGACATGTTTACAACTTTTATGCCTTAATTCTATTTATTTACATCAACAAGTAGGTATATTAGCGTGTTATCAAGAAACCTATTTACAACTGAAACTGGTGATGGAGCGCCTGGTAACATGCACCTACTTACGTTGTTCACATGTCTGACACGGAGTCCAACTTTGCCTGTGCCATCTTTGCACATGACCACCTCTCGGATGCCCTGCTTGATCTCAGCCCTTGCCAATCCTCGATTGTTTCCTGTGACAGGGGCAACCTGCATGCTGCCCGATCCACTCTGTCGCACTGCCACCTGAAACAGGTTTGCATGACAGTAAGACAGCTGATTCACAATAAGTCCACCATCAATACAAAGTTTCAGCCCCATTGGCACCTTGTTTTCAGGAAAATTTTATTTAGAAAATCAAAGATGGCCATAATCTAATCAATTTTGTTGCTTGTGAGAATGTTACACCGAACCAAGGTCTTACTGTGAAGAAAATCTACACTACCTTGGACAAAAGTGATTATTGTTTGCGGTTAGGTGTATTATTTGATTGTACCTGTGTTGGGTTGGCAGGTACAACAGCCATAGCAGCAGTCATCTCGGGTGTGATCTGTAGTCCCATGTACTCCTGAAGAGACGGGTACATGGAGCCGCTTGCACTGGGGGTGGGGTGTGGAGTGTAAGCAGGTGGCTGCTGGGGTGGGTAGGCTCCTGGAGGGTGGGGGTATGTAACAGCTGGCTGAACTGACGTCTGTTGCTCATATTGGGCCTGAGCCTGAAGAAGAATAATGAATCTGTTTATCAATCCTGAAGAAAGTTATAAACTAATGAATCCTGCATTTTCTTATAGCATGATTTCTTATTTAAACATGCGTTGTCCAAGCGGTTCATTCAACAAATCAACTAATAGTACTTAGTATCCCCGTCACATATCGTCACATGGTTAGGGTATAGGTGTAAGGCAACACTTGAACCTTTTCACAGATAACAACTTCTTTATTCTTTGTAATGTAATGACACCAGAAATTGGCTTCACACATTGTACCCATGTGGGGAATCAAACCTGGATCTTCTGCGTGACAAGCAAACTCTTTAACCACTAGGCTACCCTACCGGCCCTGTTTTAGGTGAACTTCTGGCCCTTTCATCACATGAACTGTGGTAACTAACACTAACTATACAGCCATCCTGGTGCAGCTAATCAAGAGAACATGCTCAGATGGAACAACATCAATCCAGACAAGGACAAGGCCACTTGTGGACATCTAGATCTGCTAGACTGAATTCAGTATGGCAAGGGTACCAAACTTCATATTTCCTCCCAAATATTAGCAATGATTATGAAGCATGATAACAGTTAATTGTACCTGCGCCATCTGGCCAACCTTCATGTCCTCAAGTGATGGGTAAATATGAGACATTGTGCTTAGACTTGTTCTTCTTCTGAAAAAATTAAAAAAACACAAACAAGTTTGATTAGTAATTCTTCAATAATCCTTCAAAAGCTGCTAATACTATTAACATCATAACTAAAGCATCTTTGTATCTTAGTTCAGTAATTTAATATGTTATGCAATTATTTGTATACAGATGCTCATCTAATCTCAGATGATTTGCATTATCAGTGTCTTGCCATGACAAATACACAAAGAAGAGATATTAAGCCTGTGTGGAGATATCTTTGCTGATTCTGTTTACTTTCACCTACACCTACTTTGGCCCCCAAAACAAGCACAATGCAATCAGGTATAGAATACTGCATACCCTGTTGAAGTATACATAGGTTTGTCTGCTCCAATGTATTATGGGATCAATGAGAGCATATGTATAGTTAATAAGTATTATTTAGCTGCAAATAATTACAAGTAAGATTCTATCATGAGATGAATATTTGATCATTGTAAGTTCTTAATTCCCTGTCAGTGAGTTATTCTACATGAGATCATCCTCAAATGTCAATTAAGGATTCGGAAACAGTCATGTTTACAGTCATAAGTAAGACTGGTGTATTCATAATATTCCTGCTTTTAGCCACCACTATGAGCATCTTTGGTAATCTCTGTCAATTTCCAACTAAACATGTTATTATGCCAGTTAGTTATTTCACAAGAGTAACACTGAGTCACCGCTATCACGAAAAAGAATTGACGTCACAAGAGCATGATAATATTGACTGTAGTTTGGAGTGGATGAAGGCAATGGTGTCTGCTGCAGCTGCTTTGTCAGACTTGTTGGCCAAGATCACCTGACAGTGAAATCATCAGGAAAAGATTTAAGTTGTCACATCCTGCTTACTCTCATATGAATGACACAACACCTCACAGCCCAACTACTTTCACTGTTTCCCAACAATACAGAGGCAACTTCTCTACAGTATTAGATAAACAGTTGATTGTCATCAGCTGATGCCTCGCTTCAACAATATTGACATGTTTCAATCAAAAATACACCTAGATTCAAATCACATTAATTATACGGAAACAGTGTCCATTTCTTCTTTGGGGAACTTGATTCGTCACAGCTGAGGTCACGATTGGTTCAGGCAGGATTATAGACCAATGTCATAAAATCAGTGTTTCTTTATCGAGTTAATATAATCGGCATACATACATTGCTGGGCCTTATCATAAAGGGCTTGTTTGGAGGATCGTGTTTTATGGAGTTACCATAACCCTGCTCAAGTTATTAGGGCTCCGAAAACATAACAACATTTAGCAGCCATTAGACAATCTCTATATACGTCTCCATTGACTTCACATCTGTCTTTGTTTCTGTCCGATTAAAATCTAATGAAGTTGAGTTTCACTTACCAGATATATCCCTGTAAAGAATTGTATATTTGACGATGTTGTTTCACAATCCCACCTTATATTTATGTGGATACTATTGAATGACGTCACAAGTCATATGCCTGTGACATCAGTCACAAGATACGAGACCGAGTGGCTTCCTAACGACTATATTCATTCGTGGACCCTTCAATGGACTTCTCATGGAGATTCAATATCTAATAGTCTAATCCCCTGAGACATATCAAATTATATATTTTCTCATATATAAATTCGAAATAGTTAGACTTGAAATTAGTTGACAATTACTGTTTGAACATTGAACTATGGTATCGCAAGCTCAAAGCACTGCGTTGACATATAATATCACTACAACAGCGACACCTATCTATGCGCGGGGTTCTGCAAGCTCAGAGTCGGATTGTTGTGAATAGACTGTTAGACAGTAAATACATATGTCTCAGTTTCATAAACTTATTCATTGTAACTAAAAATTAAGTTATTTTCTTTGGATTGTCTGGTCTGTCAAATCCATTTTTGGCTGGTAACATTTTGAAGTTACCAGCCCTGATGTCTGGCATGTGGCTTATTTCATACACTGGTATATTATAATAATAATAATAATAATAATAATAATAATAGGCCATTTATATAGCGCCTTTCCACGTCACAGGGATATGCTCAAAGTGCTTCCTGAGCTATATGACAGCTATATATGGGATGTCTCCCAGTCATGTAGACTCACTTTCCAGTGAGATTCCCCATGCCTTGTGAAACAACACATGTATCTGTCATTGTCATGACCACAGTAACACATGCAGGATACACATGTTTTCCTTTATGAATTATATATCTACTGAAATATATCTTTATATATAGTCTTTTCTTTTGATATTTCTAAATAAATGTTAAAGTTCACGTTTACCAACACGTTATCTGGACAAAAATCAAAGGGTGACTGCACATCCATGTTACTTTAAATAGTCTTTAGGCTAATAGTTTAAAGTATAAATAGAAAACAATTGTAATTATTACAACATATATTCCTTTAAATGGTTAAATACTTTTAAATTACAATCTTTATTTCATTGAAAATGAACACAATAGTTATGGACAGCAAACATAAATAAAATAAAAACACATTCTGACATCTGTGACCCAATGCCGGAAGTAGCTTCTCGTAGAGGAACTTCGATCATGGCCACCAAAACAGACGGAGCGACTGAAAGACCGAGTTATAACCGACAGAGAAGTAACAGCGATCCACAGCCGGCAGTTGATGTTCTAAACGCTCTAAACACCGATAAAGGTATTTACCTAAAACTCCCCTTAAATTTCGAACAACCGCCCCACCCTGCCGTAAAAGCCCACGCCCTAAAGTTGAACTGTTTACAAGCAGTCGCTCATAAAATGTCCAGGTTTGAAAGGTTTTGTTGGGAGTTCAAAGGTAACCCAGCTCACCAACTGGCTGTTGGCGCATTCTTCGTGCATGTATGTCTGGGCATTTACAGACTGCAATTGTTGTGTTGTATTGATGTATTGGATGATTTTATTACCAATTTGCTGATGCTGAGAGATAATGATCAGGTCAGCAAGTTCGTGAGCAGGTGCCTGTCTTGCGGCACGAGTAAAATACATCGATATCCGTGTTCAGTACTGTGGGGAGTGTTGGGAAACTGTGTGTAATTTCATAATGAAATGGGAATACCTTTCTCAGTCACATCAAGTGTCATTCCGTGTGTATCATTCTGTGTCCACGCAAATTCTTCCAGACTGTGTTTTCCTAAAGTCTGTTATCGGACACAATCATATTGTTCAGAAATCCCACTCTGTAATTGCCACCTCTAAACTAACGCTTAGTCTCTGAATATATACAGTTTTGAAAGGAACAAATAATCCCATTTACAATGAAAAGGAGCCCGTAGAGAAATTGAGATGAACACAAGCGAGTACATAACTCAATGACCAAAAAACCTATCTGTAGCTCTGCCCCCAGGTTTTGTGTCCGTCTCCAGATGCACTGCCTGAAACGAAAAAAAATACCAAATACCTTCCACCACCAGCTGTAGGTAGATACTTGTACTGTAGCTGTGCATTTGCCATGTCTCAGAAAATCGAGTACTTATGATGACTCTTTTATCGGCATATTTATATAAAACTGTTGACATTGTTGTTTGATGCGATTGATATGAACTCACAATTCTTATGATTGCCAATCAACTGTAAATAACAGTTCACCAAAAACTGTGTTCACATAGAAATTAGTACAAATTTTAGTCTCAACCCTTACGCTAATCCTCTGTTAATCTCCAAGTAAGCCCTTACATGAACATTACTGCAACAACACTAAACATCAAGGGGTACCGTGTTTTGCCCTCGTGCAAAAAGCTAAAACTAAAACGTCGCCTTCCTGTGAATGAAACCATTTGCAAACCATTATAATTTATCATTTTATGGGCTTGGCTATTGCCAAATGATAAGAGGATGATTTTGCTCATTAGATCAAACTAGGTAAAGCAAAGCAGTTGTGGGTATTCCCTATACATTAGCAAATACAAATATGCAGCTAGTTACATTAGTGTGGGAGTCATTTCAGTAGATTTCATTTCAGTTGTAGAGCTATGCCACAGGAGGAAGGAAGCATTATTGAGGTCACAGATATTGCTGTGAAATAAGTTTGGCTGGTATCTAGTACTCATGATATATCATGATGTAGTTGATGTGTGCCATTGTTAAGTCTAAGCAGCCATAAGAATCCCAGATTATTACAAGAAGGTTCAAAGTGGCTTACAGGGAAAGAAAACTTTCACACTAGACCACAGGACCAGTGAGCTGACAATAATTAGTGGTCCTGCCTATACTTCACTGGTCCAAAATAATATTTGTAGATTTACTTAACTATCAATACAAAATTCACTGGCCATCAGGACCACTGCAAACTTATCATTTAGTGGTCCTAATGAATTTTTACTAGCCAGGGATCATAGGACCAGCGTAAAATTTCACACACTGGCTTAGTTAGTGGAGAAGGGCAGTTGGCATTACCAACCTGCATCCACGTCACTAAAATATGAAATTCCCTACAGGCACTGGCTGTAGATAAGTACAGGTGAAATGTCTTGCATCCACGTCACTAAAATATGAAATTCCCTACAGGCACTGGCTGTAGATAAGTACAGGTGAAATGTCTTGCATCCACGTCACTAAAATATGAAATTCCCTACAGGCACTGGCTGTAGATAAGTACAGGTGAAATGTCTTGCATCCACGTCACTAAAATATGAGATTCCCTACAGGCACTGGCTGTAGATCAGTACAGGTGAAATGTCTTGCATCCACGTCACTCCTACAGGCACTGGCTGTAGATAAGTACAGGTGAAATGTCCTGCATCCACGTCTCACTAAAATATGAGATTCCCTACAGGCACTGGCTGTAGATAGAAGTACAGGTGAAATGTCTTGCATCCATGTCACACTAAAATATGAGATTCCCTACAGGCACTGGCTGTAGATAAATGCATGAAATGTCCTGCATTCACTGGCCACTAAAATATGAAATTCCCTACAGGCACTGGCTGTAGATACCTACAGGTGAAATGTCTTGCATCCACGTCACTAAAATATGAAATTCCCTACAGGCACTGGCTGTAGATAAGTACAGGTGAAATGTCTTGCATCCACGTCACTAAAATATGAAATTCCCTACAGGCACTGGCTGTAGATAAGTACAGGTGAAATGTCTTGCATCCACGTCACTCCTACAGGCACTGGCTGTAGATAAGTACAGGTGAAATGTCTTGCATCCATGTCACTCCTACAGGCACTGGCTGTAGATAAGTACAGGTGAAATGTCCTGCATCCACGTCACTAAAATATGAAATTCCCTACAGGCACTGGCTGTAGATAAGTACAGGTGAAATGTCCTGCATCCACGTCACTAAAATATGAGATTCCCTACAGGCACTGGCTGTAGATAAGTACAAGTGAAATGTCCTGCATTCACGCCACTAAAATATGAAATTCCCTACAGGCACTGGCTGTAGATACCTACAGGTGAAATGTCTTGCATCCACGTCACTAAAATATGAGATTCCCTACAGGCACTGGCTGTAGATAAGTACAGGTGAAATGTCTTGCATCCACGTCACTAAAATATGAAATTCCCTACAGGCACTGGCTGTAGATAAGTACAGGTGAAATGTCTTGCATCCACGTCACTAAAATATGAAATTCCCTACAGGCACTGGCTGTAGATAAGTACAGGTGAAATGTCTTGCATTGCTGGGAGAGTCCATGAATATCCTGATGAATATCCTGTTTTGCTGTATGGAGGTACTTGACAGTATGACACATGGAGGTACTTGACAGTATGACAGGTGGGAGTATGGAGGTACTTGACAGTATGACAGGTGGGAGTATGGAGGTACTTGACAGTATGCAGTATGACAGGTGGGAGTATGACACAGGTGGGAGTATGGAGGTACTTGACAGTATGCCACAGGTGGGAGTATGGAGGTACTTGACAGTATGCCACAGGTGGGAGTATGGAGGTACTTGACAGTATGCCACAGGTGGGAGTATGGAGGTACTTGACAGTATGACACAGGTAGGTACTTGACAGTATGACAGGTGGGAAGTATGGAGGTACAGTATGACAGTATGACAGGTGACAGGTGGGAACATGGAGGTACTTGACAGTATGACAGGTGGGAGTATGGAGGTACTTGACAGTATGACAGGTGGGAGTATGGAGGTACTTGACAGTATGACACAGGTGGGAGTATGGAGGTACTTGACAGTATGCCACAGGTGGGAGTATGGAGGTACTTGACAGTATGCCACAGGTGGGAGTATGGAGGTACTTGACAGTATGACACAGGATGGAGTATGGAGGTACTTGTCAGTATGGTATGGTATATTTATCATCCAGGTGTAGTGGTATGGTATAATTGTCTTCCGGGTGTAGTGGTATGGTATAATTGTCATCCAGGTGTAGTGGTATGGTATAATTGTCATCCGGGTGTAGTGGTATGGTATAATTGTCATCCGGGTGTAGTGGTACTGGTATAATTGTGAACCAGGTGTAGTGGTACTGGTATAATTGTCATCAGGGTGTAGTGGTACTGGTATAATTGTCTTCCGGGTGTAGTGGTATGCTATAATTGTCATCCGGGTGTAGTGGTACTGGTATAATTGTCATCCAGGTGTTGTGGTACTGGTATAATTGTCATCCAGGTGTAGTGGTATGGTATAATTGTCTTCCGGGTGTAGTGGTACTGGTATAATTGTGAACCAGGTGTAGTGGTACTGGTATAATTGTCATCCAGGTGTAGTGGTACTGGTATAATTGTCATCAGGGTGTAGTGGTACTGGTATAATTGTGAACCAGGTATAATTGTCATCAGGATGCAGTGGTACTGGTATAATTGTCTTCCGGGTGTAGTGGTATTGTTTAATTGTCATCAGGGTGTAGTGGTACTGGTATAATTGTCAACCAGGTGTAGTGGTATTGTTTAATTGTCATCAGGGTGTAGTGGTACTGGTATAATTGTCAACCAGGTGTAGTGGTATTGTTTAATTGTCATCCGGGTGTAGTGGTACTGGTATAATTGTCATCCAGGTGTAGTGGTATAGTATAATTGTCATCAGGGTGTAGTGGTATAGTATAATTGTCATCCAGGTGTAGTGGTACTGGTATAATTGTCTTCTAGGTGTAGTGGTATTGTTTAATTGTCATCAGGGTGTAGTGGTACTGGTATAATTGTCAACCAGGTGTAGTGGTATTGTTTAATTGTCATCCGGGTGTAGTGGTACTGGTATAATTGTCATCCAGGTGTAGTGGTATAATATAATTGTCATCCAGGTGTAATGGTATAGTATAATTGTCATCCAGGTGTAGTGGTACTGGTATAATTGTCATCCAGGTGTAGTGGTATGGTATAATTGTCATCCAGGTGTAGTGGTGGTACTACTGGTATAATTGTCATCAGGGTGTAGTGGTACTGGTATAATTGTGAACCAGGTGTACTGGTATAATTGTCATCCGGGTGCAGTGGTACTGGTATAATTGTCTTCCGGGTGTAGTGGTATTGTTTAATTGTCATCAGGGTGTAGTGGTACTGGTATAATTGTCATCCAGGTGTAGTGGTACTGGTATAATTGTCATCCGGGTGTAGTGGTACTGGTATAATTGTCATCCAGGTGTAGTGGTATAGTATAATTGTCATCCAGGTGTAGTGGTATAGTATAATTGTCATCCAGGTGTAGTGGTACTGGTATAATTGTCTTCCGGGTGTAGTGGTATTGTTTAATTGTCATCAGGGTGTAGTGGTACTGGTATAATTGTCAACCAGGTGTAGTGGTATTGTTTAATTGTCATCCGGGTGTAGTGGTACTGGTATAATTGTCATCCAGGTGTAGTGGTATAATATAATTGTCATCCAGGTGTAATGGTATAGTATAATTGTCATCCAGGTGTAGTGGTACTGGTATAATTGTCATCCAGGTGTAGTGGTATGGTATAATTGTCTTCCGGGTGTAGTGGTATGGTATAATTGTCATCCAGGTGTAGTGGTTCTTGTATAATTGTCATCAGGGTGTAGTGGTACTGGTATAATTGTGAACCAGGTGTAGTGGTACTGGTATAATTGTCATCAGGGTGTAGTGGTACTGGTATAATTGTCAACCATTTGTAGTGGTATTGTTTAATTGTCATCAGGGTGTAGTGGTACTGGTATAATTGTCAACCAGGTGTAGTGGTATAGTATAATTGTCATCAGGGTGTAGTGGTACTGGTATAATTGTCTTCCGGGTGTAGTGGTATTGTTTAATTGTCATCAGGGTGAAGTGGTACTGGTATAATTGTGAACCAGGTGTAGTGGTACTGGTATAATTGTCATCAGGATGCAGTGGTACTGGTATAATTGTCTTCTGGGTGTAGTGGTATTGTTTAATTGTCATCAGGGTGTAGTGGTACTGGTATAATTGTGAACCAGGTGTAGTGGTACTGGTATAATTGTCATCAGGGTGCAGTGGTACTGGTATAATTGTCTTCCGGGTGTAGTGGTATTGTTTAATTGTCATCAGGGTGTAGTGGTACTGGTATAATTGTGAACCATTTGTAGTGGTATTGTTTAATTGTCATCAGGGTGTAGTGGTACTGGTATAATTGTCATCCAGGTGTAGTGGTATAGTATAATTGTCATCAGGGTGTAGTGGTACTGGTATAATTGTCATCCAGGTGTAGTGGTACTGGTATAATTGTCATCAAGGTGTAGTGGTACTGGTATAATTGTCATCAGGGTGTAGTGGTACTGGTATGTTTGTCATCAAGGTGCGGTGGTATGGTTTAATTGTCACCTCGACCCACCATCCCTGACTGTCTGTGCTGATCCGACAACACCTCAACCCACCATCCCTGACTGTCTGTGCTGATCCGACATCACCTCGAACCCACCATCCCTGACTGTCTGTGCTGATCCGACAACACCTCAACCCACCATCCCTGACTGTCTGTGCTGATCCGACATCACCTCGACCCACCATCCCTGACTGTCTGTGCTGATCCCGACATCACCTCGACTGTCTGTGCTGATCCACCATCCCCGACTGTCTGTGCTGATCCGACATCACCTCAACCCACCATCCCTGACTGTCTGTGCTGATCCGACATCACCTCAACCCACCATCCCTGACTGTCCGTCGTGATCCGACATCACCTCAACCCACCATCCCTCACTGTCTGTGCTGTTCCGACATCACCTCAACCCACCATCCCTGACTGTCTGTGCTGATCCGACATCACCTCGACCCACCATCCCTGACTGTCTGTGCTGATCCGACATCACCTCAACCCACCATCCCTGACTGTCTGTGCTGATCCGACATCACCTCAACCCACCATCCCTGACTGTCCGTCGTGATCCGACATCACCTCAACCCACCATCCCTCACTGTCTGTGCTGTTCCGACATCACCTCAACCCACCATCCCTGACTGTCTGTGCTGAACCGACAACACCACAACCCACCATCCCTGACTGTCTGTGCTGATCCGACATCACCTCAACCCACCATCCCTGACTGTCTGTACTGATCCGACATCACCTCAACCCACCATCCCTGACTGTCTGTGCTGATCCGACATCACCTCAACCCACCATCCCTGACTGTCTGTACTGATCCGACATCACCTCAACCCACCATCCCTGACTGTCTGTGTGCGACATGTCAACCGACATCACCTCAACCCACCATCCCTGACTGTCTGTGCTGATCTGACAACACCTCAACCCACCATCCCTGACTGTCTGTACTGATCCGACATCACCTCAACCCACCATCCCTGACTGTCTGTGCTGATCCGACATCACCTCAACCCACCATCCCTGACTGTCTGTACTGATCCGACATCATCTTAACCCACCATCCCTGACTGTCCGTCGTGATCCGACATCATCAACCCACCATCCCTGACTGTCTGTGCTGATCCGACAACACCTCAACCCACCATCCCTGACTGTCTGTACTGATCTGACATCACCTCAACCCACCATCCCTGACTGTCTGTACTGATCTGACATCACCTCAACCCACCATCCCTGACTGTCTGTGCTGATCCGACATCACCTCAACCCACCATCCCTGACTGTCTGTGCTGATCTGACATCACCTCAACCCACCATCCCTGACTGTCTGTACTGATCTGACATCACCTCAACCCACCATCCCTGACTGTCTGTGCTGATCCGACATCACCTCAACCCACCATCCCTGACTGTCTGTACTGATCTGACATCACCTCAACCCACCATCCCGGACTGTCTGTGCTGATCCGGACAACACCTCAACCCACCATCCCTGACTGTCTGTACTGATCTGACATCACCTCAACCCACCATCCCTGACTGTCTGTGCTGATCCGACATCACCTCAACCCACCATCCCTGACTGTCTGTGCTGATCCGACATCACCTCAACCCACCATCCCTGACTGTCTGTGCTGATCCGACAACACCTCAACCCACCATCCCTGACTGTCTGTACTGATCCGACATCACCTCAACCCACCATCCCTGACTGTCCGTGCTGTTCCGACATCACCTCAACCCACCATCCCTGACTGTCTGTGCTGATCCGACAACACCTAAAGCCTCCATCCCGGACTTGAAGATTACAACACTATCTGCCAGTAAATGTGATTGTTACGAGTCTAGGCCAGCACTGTCTTTGACTATCACCTTGACTGGGGAGTGCCTGGGCGCTGTAGTCTATCCGACAATTGGCTTTAACTGACACTTTTGTTGGTAACAATTGAATAAACGTAATTTAGACTCATTAATCCAACAGTCCCGCATTCCAACTCCGACAGCCTCAATTACAGCCAACTGTCGTAATCACTTAGTAATTAGTCCTGTTAATCCGACATTGAGATTGGCAACACGTGTGATCAATTACCCGTAAATACACTGCCACGTGTCACTCAAGATGTTATGATACGTGAGGAGCTATGAACACAAATTCTGCCATCCCCTGAACATCGTATAACTGCCGTAAAACTGGAAGTCAAGTATATTTATAGCTTGCCAAGAGAGTAGCCGTTCTGTCGTTTTATTTTTTAGACCCATGTTTAAATGCAACCATTGATGAAGATTTCGTAAATGGTTAATGAAAATATGAATTGGTTTTGGAAACAATGAATACTCCTTAAGAATATTAACACATGATTGAAACAAGCAGCTTGATTGGCTGACAAGACTGTCAACAAAATGCCTGCTTCCCTGCACATGTTCGCTTCAAGAAAACATTTGGTATTTGCTAAAGGCTCAGTTCTCATTGAATTCACGAACAAGGATGGAAATACATAGGTTTATCATATTGATACTTGTTACATCTACTCTTAGATCTACAGCCATTCTATTCTGATTTCTGCGTCAAAGTCGACACATTGATCTAGAGTTCTACTTTCTCAGTTTTCAAACACACAAATATCTTGACGTACGTATAGTTTAGCTGTAAGACTTGTGATCTAAAGTCGATAATCAATTATGGTTTAAGAAGTCGATTGCCAACACTAATTACACACACACGCTTAATATGAATCATGACTGTCCTGTTTTTTACCATGAGCGTGATCGATACTCAGAATTCGATAATCTGACATCCTCATTAATCCGACAATTTGCTGCGCAACAGACGGTGTCGGATTAACAAGACTTGACTGTATATAATTGTCCCTGTGCGATGTTGAGAGTATATAATTGTCCGAGTGTCATGCTGAGGGTATGGATTGGTCCTAGTGCGTTGTTGAGTGTATATTACTGTCCCAGTGCAGTGTTGAGTGTATATTACTGTCCCAGTGCGATGTTGAGTTTATATTACTGTCCCAGTGTGATGTTGAGTGTATGTTACTGTCCCAGTGCGGTGTTGAGAGTATATTACTGTCCCAGTGCGGTGTTGAGAGTATATTACTGTCCCAGTGCGGTGTTGAGTGTATATTACTGTTCCAGTGCAGTGTTGAGTGTATATTACTGTCCCAGTGCGGTGTTGAGAGTATATTACTTTCCCAGTGCGGTGTTGAGTGTATATTACTGTCCCAGTGTGGTGTTGAGTGTATATTACTGTCCCAGTCAGATTGCGTGCGTTGAGAGTGTATATTACTGTCCCAGTGCGGTGTTGAGTGTATATTACTGTCCCAGTGCGGTGTTGAGTGTATATTACTGTCCCAGTGCGGTGTTGAGAGTATATTACTGTCCCAGTGCGGTGTTGAGTGTATATTACTGTCCCAGTGTGATGTTGAGTGTATATTACTGTCCCAGTGCGGTGTTGAGAGTATATTACTTTCCCAGTGCGGTGTTGAGTGTATATTACTGTCCCAGTGCGGTGTTGAGAGTATATTACTGTCCCAGTGCGGTGTTGAGTGTATATTACTGTCCCAGTGCGGTGTTGAGTGTATATTACTGTCCCAGTGCGGTGTTGAGAGTATATTACTGTCCCAGTGCGGTGTTGAGAGTATATTACTGTTCCAGTGCGATGTTGAGTGTATATTACTGTCCCAGTGCGGTGTTGAGAGTATATTACTGTCCCAGTGCGGTGTTGAGTGTATATTACTGTCCCAGTGCGGTGTTGAGTGTATATTACTGTCCCAGTGCAGTGTTGAGAGTATATTTCTGTCCCAGTGCGGTGTTGAGTGTATATTACTGTCCCAGTGCGGTGTTGAGTGTATATTACTGTCCCAGTGTGATGTTGAGTGTATATTACTGTCCCAGTGTGGCGTTGAGAGTATATTACTGTCCCAGTGCGGTGTTGAGTGTATATTACTGTCCCAGTGCGGTGTTGAGTGTATATTACTGTCCCAGTGCGGTGTTGAGAGTATATTACTGTCCGGTGTGCGCGGTGTTGAGTGTATATTACTGTCCCAGTGTGATGTTGAGTGTATATTACTGTCCCAGTGCGGTGTTGAGAGTATATTACTGTTCCAGTGCAGTGTTGAGTGTATATTACTGTCCCAGTGCGGTGTTGAGAGTATATTACTTTCCCAGTGCGGTGTTGAGTGTATATTACTGTCCCAGTGCGGTGTTGAGTGTATATTACTGTCCCAGTGCGGTGTTGAGAGTATATTACTGTTCCAGTGCGATGTTGAGTGTATATTACTGTCCCAGTGCATGTTGAGAGTATATTACTGTCCCAGTGCGGTGTTGAGTGTATATTACTGTCCCAGTGCGGTGTTGAGTGTATATTACTGTCCCAGTGCAGTGTTGAGAGTATATTACTGTCCCAGTGCGGTGTTGAGTGTATATTACTGTCCCAGTGCAGTGTTGAGTGTATATTACTGTCCCAGTGCGGTGTTGAGTGTATATTACTTTCCCAGTGCGGTGTTGAGTGTATATTACTGTCCCAGTGTGATGTTGAGAGTATGGACTGATCCCAGCCCGATGGTGAGAGCATCTGCCTACAGTGCAGAGAGAGACCGTCGTTCCAAAAGACATTAAAAGATCCTGCCTGGTGCAGAGAAAGAAAGGTTGAAAGAAGGACTTGTTTGAGTTGATTGGGTATTCATGTTAAACTGTTGCATGGTATTTCGGTATGCTAGTATTATCATTTTTCCGGACTATTCATGTCAGAGGTCGATATTTACGGACAACAATATGCTAAATGCTTCAAACTATTTATAAAAGCGTTCAATTTTCTAGTAAAGGCTGACTATTTTAGAGTCCTGTGTTTTTCTTGATTCTTGAATTTTTTATGAAAATAGTTGTTGACTTATGTCATTTTAAAATGTTAAGTTAAGGTTGTGAAAAATATAGGTTATTGATTTTGGAATTATCGTTATGTTTTTGCTTATTGAAATTTCATTTAGCTAGTAGCTTAAAAAGTCACAAGCAGTCTTTTGCTTGTGCTTTAAAAAGTTAAGTTCCAACCCTGAAACTGTTGTATGCTATCTCAGCAGGCTAGAATTCTCATTTGTCCAGACTCTTCATATTAAACTATTACAAGGTATCTTCATTACTAGTGTTATCATTTGTATAGACTCTCCAGCAACACAAACACATGTGCAAGTACTTGCTATATACTTGCCTCAATCTTGAATGTGATCTTATTAAAACCCTGTTTTGGACTCCTGGTGTAAAGTACATTATAAATTGTGTGTTTTTCTCTTTTGTCTTTTGCAGCTGATGCCAGCTGGAGTACCAACACAATCGGCCGAACTGAGAGTGAGTAACCTCCCTTGTCCCATACATTGACCACTCACTGAATAAAGTGAGCATGAGTAACCTCCCTTGTCCCATACATTGACCACTCACTGAATAAAGTGAGCATGAGTAACCTCCCTTGCCCCATACATTGACCACTCACTGAATAAAGTGAGCATGAGTAACCTCCCTTGCCCCATACATTGACCACTCACTGAATAAAGTGAGCATGAGTAACCTCCCTTGCCCCATACATTGACCACTCACTGAATAAAGTGAGCATGAGTAACCTCCCTTGCCCCATACATTGACCACTCACTGAATAAAGTGAGCATGAGTAACCTCCCTTGTCCCATACATTGACCACTCACTGAATAAAGTGAGCATGAGTAACCTCCCTTGCCCCATACATTGACCACTCACTGAATAAAGTGAGCATGAGTAACCTGCCTTGCTCCCATACACATTGACCACTCACTGAATAAAGTGAGCATGAGTAACCTGCTCCTTGCCCCATACATTGACCACTCACTGAATAAAGTGAGCATGAGTAACCTCCCTTGCCCCATACATTGACCACTCACTGAATAAAGTGAGCATGAGTAACCTCCCTTGCCCCCATACATTGACCACTCACTGAATAAAAGTGAGCATGAGTAACCTCCCTTGCCCCATACATTGACCACTCACTGAATAAAGTGAGCATGAGTAACCTCCCTTGTCCCATACATTGACCACTCACTGAATAAAGTGAGCATGAGTAACCTCCCTTGCCCCATACATTGACCACTCACTGAATAAAGTGAGCAATGAGTAACCTCCCTTGCCCCATACATTGACCACTCACTGAATAAAGTGAGCATGAGTAACCTGCCTTGCCCCATACATTGACCACTTACTGAATAAAGTGAGCATGAGTAACCTCCCTTTGCCCCATACATTGGACCACTCACTGAATAAAGTGAGCATGAGTAACCTGCCTTGCCCCATACATTGACCACTCACTGAATAAAGTGAGCATGAGTAACCTGCCTTGCCCCCATACATTGACCACTCACTGAATAAAGTGAGCATGAGTAACCTGCCTTGCCCCATACATTGACCACTTACTGAATAAAGTGAGCATGAGTAACCTCCCTTTGTCCCATACATTGACCACTCACTGAATAAAGTGAGCATGAGTAACCTCCCTTGTCCCATACATTGACCACTCACTGAATAAAGTGAGCATGAGTAACCTCCCCTTGCCCCATACATTGACCACTCACTGAATAAAGTGAGCATGAGTAACCTCCCTTGCCCCATACATTGACCACTCACTGAATAAAGTGAGCATGAGTAACCTCCCTTGCCCCATACATTGACCACTCACTGAATAAAGTGAGCATGAGTAACCTCCCTTGCCCCATACATTGACCACTCACTGAATAAAGTGAGCATGAGTAACCTCCCTTGTCCCATACATTGACCACTCACTGAATAAAGTGAGCATGAGTAACCTCCCTTGCCCCATACATTGACCACTCACTGAATAAAGTGAGCATGAGTAACCTCCCTTGCCCCATACATTGACCACTCACTGAATAAAGTGAGCATGAGTAACCTGCCTTGCCCCATACATTGACCACTCACTGAATAAAGTGAGCATGAGTAACTCTCCTTGCCCCATACATTGACCACTCACTGAATAAAGTGAGCATGAGTAACCTCCCTTGCCCCATACATTGACCACTCACTGAATAAAGTGAGCATGAGTAACCTCCCTTGCCCCATACATTGACCACTCACTGAATAAAGTGAGCATGAGTAACCTCCCTTGTCCCATACATTGACCACTCACTGAATAAAGTGAGCATGAGTAACCTCCCTTGCCCCATACATTGACCACTCACTGAATAAAGTGAGCATGAGTAACCTGCCTTGCCCCATACATTGACCACTCACTGAATAAAGTGAGCATGAGTAACCTGCCTTGCCCCATACATTGACCACTTACTGAATAAAGTGAGCATGAGTAACCTCCCTTGCCCCATACATTGACCACTCACTGAATAAAGTGAGCATGAGTAACCTCCCTTGCCCCATACATTGACCACTCACTGAATAAAGTGAGCATGAGTAACCTCCCTTGCCCCATACATTGACCACTCACTGAATAAAGTGAGCATGAGTAACCTCCCTTGCCCCATACATTGACCACTCACTGAATAAAGTGAGCATGAGTAACCTCCCTTGCCCCATACATTGACCACTCACTGAATAAAGTGAGCATGAGTAACCTCCCTTGCCCCATACATTGACCACTCACTGAATAAAGTGAGCATGAGTAACCTCCCTTGCCCCATACATTGACCACTCACTGAATAAAGTGAGCATGAGTAACCTGCCTTGCCCCATACATTGACCACTTTACTGAATAAAGTGAGCATGAGTAACCTCCCTTGTCCCATACATTGACCACTCACTGAATAAAGTGAGCATGAGTAACCTCCCTTGCCCCATACATTGACCACTCACTGAATAAAGTGAGCATGAGTAACCTGCCTTGCCCCATACATTGACCACTTACTGAATAAAGTGAGCATGAGTAACCTCCCTTGTCCCATACATTGACCACTCACTGAATAAAGTGAGCATGAGTAACCTGCCTTGCCCCATACATTGACCACTTACTGAATAAAGTGAGCATGAGTAACCTCCTTGCCCCATACATTGACCACTCACTGAATAAAGTGAGCATGAGTAACCTCCCTTGCCCCATACATTGACCACTCACTGAATAAAGTGAGCATGAGTAACCTCCCTTGCCCCATACATTGACCACTCACTGAATAAAGTGAGCATGAGTAACCTGCCTTGCCCCATACATTGACCACTCACTGAATAAAGTGAGCATGAGTAACCTCCCTTGCCCCATACATTGACCACTCACTGAATAAAGTGAGCATGAGTAACCTCCCTTGCCCCATACATTGACCACTCACTGAATAAAGTGAGCATGAGTAACCTCCCTTGCCCCATACATTGACCACTCACTGAATAAAGTGAGCATGAGTAACCTCCCTTGCCCCATACATTGACCACTCACTGAATAAAGTGAGCATGAGTAACCTCCCTTGCCCCATACATTGACCACTCACTGAATAAAGTGAGCATGAGTAACCTCCCTTGCCCCATACATTGACCACTCACTGAATAAAGTGAGCATGAGTAACCTCCCTTGCCCCATACATTGACCACTCACTGAATAAAGTGAGCATGAGTAACCTCCCTTGCCCCATACATTGACCACTTACTGAATAAAGTGAGCATGAGTAACCTCCCTTGCCCCATACATTGACCACTCACTGAATAAAGTGAGCATGAGTAACCTCCCTTGCCCCATACATTGACCACTTACTGAATAAAGTGAGCATGAGTAACCTCCCTTGCCCCATACATTGACCACTCACTGAATAAAGTGAGCATGAGTAACCTCCCTTGCCCCATACATTGACCACTCACTGAATAAAGTGAGCATGAGTAACCTCCCTTGCCCCATACATTGACCACTTACTGAATAAAGTGAGCATGAGTAACCTGCCTTTGCTTCATAGCGGTCCCACATGCTGCCATGGTTGCCAAATGCAGGATCACAGGATCTTGCATGGAGATGTTGTTTACTGAGATATTTGCCTCATCGTCATTAATGTACAGAAGATGCTTGTCAACAGGCAGGATGAATGTGCTTTGTGTTTAGAGGAGTAGAATTAATTTATTCTTCCAATCATTTCAGCTCCTACTGATTCTTCACATGTCTTCTCTCTAATCAATCAATGTCATTTTCATATAACATCATCTGCAAAAAATCAGCCAATCATTTTCAAAGTTCAATCCTCCCCAGGCCAGGGAGTTAACAACAAGTACAGTTCCACCCTTGTGGAAGTAGGCTGGATTCAGACAAATATGGCCTCTCATATCACTTGCTTCACCCATCAATGGCCAGTCAGCATGATCTGATTGATGATCAAGGTCTGTGTTGTAATAAAACAGGTGTTACCTTAAAAAGTGATCTCACCAACACGCATAAAGACATAACGAAATTTCTCTTGATAAGGGAGCCTGAAAATGTAAAAAATCTGGTACTGAAATGTGCATAGAATCCCCAGACGTGTGTGACATTGTTTGGAGTGTGACTATACATAGACATATATATATGCCAAAGCACAAGTGAAAACAGTTGAACAAGGGGGAAACTTGTCAGTTACCTCAATGCCTCTCTGTGACCACTTCATCTGTAAAATGGAAATAGGTTACTTGTGATCATTACTCCTGTTTCGATTCACTTGCGTATTCAGTGAATTGAACCATATCCCTTTATGAATTCAATTAATTATTTGGGGTCACTAGAATTAATTATTTCCAAATATTTTTAGGAGAGTGTTTTTTACATGAAACTAGTTTGTGGTTCTTGAAAGGTATTTAGAAGTTGGATGAACATGAATACATGACACGTTTTATGGAAGACAACTTGGTTTTATGTTTTATATGACATATCAGAGCTAATTCTGGCTTCTTCATCATTCACCTGATAAAGGAGAAAGAATTAGCTCTGAAACTTTGTATAAAGAATAAAAAGAAGTTGTTATCCATAAAACGTCATGTATTCAACTAAGATAAGAAAGTGTAATCCCAAATGTAACATATGTTGGTTTGTTGTTTATCTGTGTGAAATACACAAACTGGAATATATCCCATCCATGCAATAGCGGTCTACTCCCATTTGTGAGAACTCCCAATTGTGAGACTCCCAGTTATGAGACAGAGGAGTAGGTAATTAACAAAGAAAACACACCATACTCCCCTGTCTGATAGAATGGATTAACCCTAGCTAATTACTGATTTGCTATGTAACTGAATCTTGTGGAAGTCTTAATGAAACTTTATAAGATAAATTGATTAACATACTCAGGTAAATGTCTTTAAAAATGAAACACTTTGTGTAGGTAACTTCGTGATCATTTGAAAGAGAAATTAATATA